TCTCTAATATTTTAAACAAAAATAAAATTTAAAAATTAAAAAATATTAATAGATTTTTCATTTATCAAGGAGGGTCAGATGTGATACGTGACCTCAAACGTTCTCTTTGGAGGCTTGCAGACAAAGAACTCTCAGCAAGCGCCAGCATCCTCTGACAGGCTGCCTCGGGGGCAGGGCGGCATCTGTTCCCGGCACCGCCGCAGGGAGCTGGGTGGGGGCCGGGAAGGGCGGCCTCGCGCAGCGCGGCGGGGAGCGGAGAGCGGGCTCCCGGCCGGGCCCGTGCGAGGTGCCGGGAGCCCCGGCCTGACCGTACCTTCGTGGGCGGGCTCCGGGTCGGGCGTCAGCGAGATGTCATCCAGCTCCCGCAGGCAGAGCCACTCTCCATCCATGGACACCCGGAATTTGCAGAGGTAGATGGTCTCCATGGCAGCCTGGGTGATCTTGTCAGTGGTGGGGGTCGGCATGTCGGTTGGAGGCGTCAGCGCGGACATGATGACTCAGCTGGGGCCGGGACACGCGCGCACACTCCCTCTCACCCGCAAGATAAACAACCCCCCAGCGGACTCCCAGCCCCAAGCCCCGCAGCAGAGCTCCCGGGCGCGGGATGTCGGGGAAGCACCACGGGGAAGTACCTTACGGTCTGAGCATCCACCGCTCAAGGTGAACAATTCTACGCCCTCTTTTCTCACACAGTTTCTACCACAGCAAAATACCCCGAGGCTGCCCCTCCCAGCTTCCTCTCTCCTCCCTTCCCTGCGGCTCTCCCTCCCGGCCGCCGCCGGCCTCCGCGGGCCCTAACAGGCTGGCTTCTGCATGCGGGAGTGAACGACGCCCCTTCTTTGTGCAGGGAAAAAATACAAAAGGAAAAAAATGAACCGAAAAATAAACCAGGGTTTTCAATTTCGCTTTGAAGACGCCGGAGCCGCAGAGAGCACTCGCAGGACCTGCCGCGAGGAGCCGGGATGCCGAGTGCCGACGGGATTGGCTGCGCCGAGCAGGGTGTCGACCAAAATGGCTGACTAATGAGCTGGACCAACGCGCAGCCACGTGACCCGCCGGCGCCGCGATTC